AATTAATTTGAGAACTCTGTTTGTTTAACAAACACGCTTAATTGATATGGCAATTTTGCTTTAGTCCTTGTTAATATTTGTAATTTACGCATGCCGATATTTGTTGTTCAACCGACCTTCTCTTGTAAGGGTGTTAGGGAAGTAAGGGCGTCCCTTTAAGTCCCTCCTTAACTTGGTAGGTCGGCACGAATCTTTTAATCCAGCTTCCCGTAGGCAAGTTGGTCAACTATCGCAACATTTTCAGCCGGGCTAGAACCTCTGCCCGTAGTATAGATGGTTCGAATACCGTGACATTCTTTGTCGGGCTGGAACCTCTGCCCGTAGACTAGATGGTTTGAATACCGCGACATTTCTGTTCGGGCTGGAACCTCTGCCCGTAGGCTAGAAGGTTCAAATACCTCGACGTTTGTGACCGGGCTAGAACCTTCTGCCCGTAAGCTAGAAGGTTCAAATACCTCGACGTTTTTTGGCCGGGCTGGAACCTCTGCTCGTAGGCTAGATGGTTCCAATACCTCGACGTTCTTAGCCGGGCTAGAACCTTCTTCCTGTAGGCTAGAAGGTTCAAATACCTTGACGTTTTTGTCCGGGCTGGAACCTCTGCCCGTAGGCTAGATGGTTCCAACACCTCGACGTTCTTGGCCGGGCTAGATCCTTCTGCCCGTAGGCTAAAAGGTTCAAATACCTCGACGTTTGTGGCCGGGCTAGAACCTTCTGCCCGTAAGCTAGAAGGTTTGAATACCTCGATGTTTTTGGCCAGGCTGGAACCTCTGCCCGTAGGCTAAATGGTTCCAATACTTTGAATTACTTCTCGAGAATAAGATTCTAGAAAATTATTATTTCTTCAAATATCTCGGATTATTCCATTTATTGAACTTTGAATTTGAAAGCTACAATTTATGGATAAGAACTTTTCAACTGAAATACTTCTTCAACTTGTCCGCATTCCAAGTCCTTTTGACTTGCTTCCCCTTTGAGGTTTCCAGAATATAGGCTCCCTTTGATAGCTCGGCTTTAATTTTATACGGTCCTTCCCATCTTGGAGCCAGCTTTCCTTCAGCCGCGTTCCGACCTCCGATGTCCGCCCTTCGAAGAACCAGATCTCCTATCACAAATGATCACGGCTTACCTTCTTGTTAAATTGGTTTGCCACGAGTTGCTTTGCTGCAACATTTTTGAAATGAGTTGTGGCCCGAGGTTCATCAATCAAATCCAACTCCATAGCTATTTTGCTGCTATTCTCTTTTTCAGTTTGCGACAAAGCTTGGGCCCTCCGCCATGATGGTTCTCCCAGTTCCACCGGGATCATGGCCTCGGTTCTATATGTCAATCCGAACGGATTTTCTCCAGTAGAGGTTTGCTCTGTGGTTCTGTGTCCCCATAGTACATATCATAGCTCCTCTACCCACTTCCCCTTGGCACATTGCTCCATCCTTTTACGCAATCCGACTATGATGACTTGGTTTGCCGCTTCGGCTTGGCCGTTGGATTGAGGATGTTCAACAGACATGAAAGGATGCCGGATGTGAAGATTTGCCATTAGTTCTTGGAAGGTTCTACTTGTGAACTGGGTTCCATTATCGGTGACCACTTCAGCTGGAATCCCAAACCTGCAGATCAAATTTCTTTCAAAAAAGTGTTGCACCCTTGCCATGGTAATTGTTGCTACTGGCTCTACTTCTATCCATTTTGAAAGTAATCAACAGCCACTATTAACCACTTTAACTGTCCTTCAGCCACAGCAAATGGGCCCAGAAGGTCCATCCCCCAGTTGAAGAAGGGCCATGGAGCTGTGATCAGGCTTAACTCTTCTGGTGGTGCCAACAGGTTCTTACCGTGCTTCTGGCACTGATCGCACTTCTGTACGTGCTCCTTTGCGTCCTGACCCATAGATGGCCAAAAGTACCCTGCTCTGAGGGCTTTCCGAACTAATGCTTTGCCCCCAACGTACTGGCCATTTATCCCCTCATGGATTTCAGATAGGACATATTTAGCCCTACCCGAGCTCAGACATTTCAATAGGGGGAATAGATTCCCTTCCTATATAACTGCCCTTCAACCATAGTGTATAACGCAACATCCTTAACTAGCTTTTGAGCTTCTTCATTTTGAGAGGGGAGCGTCCCGTTTTCTATGTAACCGATAATGGTACTACGCCAATCCCTGCTCTCAGATATCTGCATGACACATGTGGGTTTTGGGATGTCCTGCTCCACCACTGTCCTGTGGTTTCCCCATCCTTTGGTACTTGCCAGTTTTGATAGTATGTCGGCCCTGCTATTTTCATTTCGCGGGATGTGACAGACTTCTACATTTTCGAACTCCGCCATTAACTGCCTTGCAAAATCTAGGTATTTTGCCAACAACGGTCCTTTAGCTTGGTAGCTTCCTCCAATTTGCGACGTGACCAGCTGCGAATCACTAAAGATTTGCAGTTTCCTTGCTCCGAGCTCTTTTGCCTGATGTAGCCCGGCTATGAATGCTTCATATTCTGCTTGGTTGTTGGACGTTTCAAATTTCATTTGCAAGGAATATTCAACCGAGATCCCTTCCGGGTTCTCAATAATTATCCCGGCTCCACTTCCTTTGGAATTTGAGGACCCGTCCACATAAATTTTCCAGGTGTCTGGATTGTTGAGCTCTCCTTTTGGATTGAAGTGAGCTCCCTGACAAAGTCTGCCAATGCTTGGGACTTGATTGCCTTTCGGCTTTCAAAGGATAAGTCAAATTCTGATAGTTCCACAGCCCAGGCAATCATTCTTCCTGCCAAATCAGGTTTATGTAAAATCTGCCGAATTGGAAAGTCCGACCGAACTACAATCTGGTGCCCTTGAAAATACGCTCTAAGCCTTCTAGCCGAGGTTAGCAGAGCGAAAACCACCTTTTCTAACTTCTGGTAGCGGAGCTCTGCTCCCTATAAGAGCCGACTTACAAAGTAAATTGGCTGCTGCCCCTCCTCATTTTCTTGAACCAAGACTGAGCTAACAACGAGATCTCCCACAGAGAGATACATTATCAGTGGCTCCCCTTCTCTTGGGCTAGATAGCACTGGTGGTGATGCCAGCTGCTTTTTAATTTCTTCGAATGCTGCTTCACATTCTGAAGTCCAGCCATATTGTACCTCTTTTCGTAACAACTTGAAAAAATGCAGTGCCGTTTCTGCAGACGGAGGTAAAAACCTAGTGAGGGAAGCTAGCCTCCCAGTCAACTGCTGAATTTCCTTCTTGTTTCCCGGGGCCTTAATTTCCAGCATGAATCCTAGGAATTTCCCGGCTCTGCACTTATCCGGGTTAGCTTCAATACCTCTGTGAGTCAGCATGAATCCTAGGAATTTCCCTGCAAGGACTCCAAACGCACATTTAGCCGGGTTTAGCCGAATGTTGTGTTGCCGTAGTTTGTTAAAGGTCTGCTCCAGGTCTTCAACATGCATTGCTGACTTAACTGATTTGACTATCATATCGTCTATATACACCTCCACATTCTTGCCAAGTTGTTCTGCAAATACCTGATTCATCATCTTTTGGTACGTGGCCCCTGAGTTTTTCAATCCAAAAGGCATCACATTATAACAATAGTTTGCCCTTTCTCCAATGAAAGTGGTCTTTTCTTGATCTTCGGGGTGTAACGGGATCTGATTATACCCCGAGTACGCATCCAAAAAGGATAACATCTGGAACCCGGATGAATTATCCACGAGCTGGTCAATGTTGGGCATGGGGTATGCGTCCTTGGGACATACCTTGTTCAGGTCAGTGTAGTCAGTACATAGCCTCCATTTCCCATTTGGCTTTTTCACCATGACCACGTTTGACAACCAGGTTGTATACTGTGTTTCTCTGATGAATTCTGCTTCCAGCAGCTCCCTTACGTGATCTTCTAACACTTGGCGACGTTCCGCACTGAGTTTCCTTTTCTTCTGAGCCACCAGTTTAGACCCCAGGTATACTGCAAGCTTGTGACAGCAGAATTGAGGGTCCACACCAAGTATCTCTGAGGACTTCTAGGCAAAGACATCCATGTTCCTTCTTAAGCACTCAGTAATCCGAAACTTGTCCTCATTAGCCATCCCTTTTCCAACTTTGGCTATTTGAGTTTCTTCTCCAATAACTACCTCATCCAGCTCCCCATCTGGTTCCGGTCTTGGGATCTGAGTTTCATCCCTCATGTCCAATTCCACCATGTTTACCTGTGTAGTTCCCTTCTTGGAGGCTTCCGATTTATTACTGGTGCTCAACCCACCTGGCTTCTTAAGGTTACTGCTTATTGCTCTGACTGACTTAAAGTAACAGTCCCGAGATTCTTTTTGGTCCCCATGAATGGTGATGACCGTATTCTACTTACCAACCATTTTAAGCTTCTGATGCTTAGTGGAGACCACAATCGTGGATAGTTGGTCTTCCCAAAATTACATTATACTCCGATGGGAAGTCGGCAACGATGAATCTTACCCTTTCCGACTTGTAAGCCTCCTTTGTTCCCAAGGTGAGCCTCAGATCAATGTACCCCTTAGGAATAGTATCACAGCCATTGAATGCCATCAAAGTCGTGTTGCAAGGCCTCAGATCCTCCACATCCAGGTTCATTTTCTGGAATGCCTGCCTCAAAATTATGTCGGCACAGCTGCCGTTATCCACGAACATTTTCTTGACTTTACAGTTGACTAGTGTCCCGGTGATGACTAGCCCGTCAACGTGCCCCGGCATGAAATCTTCCAATTCTGCTTTTGTAAAGAACAGCTGTGGTGCTTCCGATTCCTCTCCTTTAAATTTAGGCCGCTCTCGAATTGAAAGCACCTCTCTTAAGTATTTTCTTCTGGCATTCATGGTATCACCTCTTCCACCAAATCCTCCACTAATAACATTGCATTCGAACTCGGGCTCTACGAATTCGTCGTCCTCTTTGATCGGCTTCTTACCTCGGCCTTCATCCTTGAACTTCTTCTCTCGGTTCGGGCTCATCGGCCGTCCTCCTTTTCTCTTCTTATTGCTCTTCCATCCTTGAGTTCATATGAGATACTGACGCAAATTTTCCTCCCTGATATATCTTTCAATTGCGTCTCTGAGATCCCAACACTCCTCGGTTGTATGACCAGGGCCATCATGGAACGCACAATATCGTGCTTGATCAAGCCCAGCTTGATTCAGTAGTGGCCGAGGTATGTCCACCCTTTTCATCTCGGTGGATTCCACTTCCCTCCAGATTTGGGACCGGGAGGAATTTAATGGCGTATACCTGTCAAATCTTATTTTGGATAAATTTTTCTCTTCGGGTCTTTTACCCCGGAAATCATTTTGCTTACGGTTTCCGGGTTTTTCTACCTGGATTTGGTGCGGCCTTGGGTCCGCGTTTTCAATCTCCATCTGTTCGAGCTCCAAGTATTTTTTGGAACGAATAGTGAACTCAACTAGAGTTCGTACAGGGTCTTTGTAGACGGACTTGGCCAACCTGGAGGATCCGTGAAGGCCGGTAATCACCAAATAAAGGTGAACATTTTCGGATAGCCCAGGAACTTGTAACGCGGCCATCTTGAAGCGGTCCAAATATTTTTGCAGGGTTTTGCCAGGCTGCTGCTTTATTTTCCCCAGCGCAAATTCGAACTTCGGCTGTTTTTTGCTTGTAGAAAAATTTAGCAAGAATCTGCCTCCGATCTCTTCAAACGACCTGATGGATCCTGCTAGTAGAGAGGAGAACCACGACTGAGCTGCTCCTGTCAGGGTGGTTGCAAATAATCGGGTTATCAGCGGCTCTTCAATCCCCTTAATGTACATTGTCGTATCAAAGGCATCCAAATACACCTAAGGGTCTTGCGTTTCGTCATATTTTGGAATTTCAGACAGATTTAGGTTCTCTGGATATGGTGCATTCACAATTTTGTCCGCGAAGGGGCTGTCATTATATTGCCCCCTATGATACTTCCTCCTGTAGACCCTGGACACATTGTTCGGGTTCGGGTTCAGGTTCGGTCTCTCTTGTTGTCCCCCGTTCCTATTGAGAACCTCGGGTCCTTGATTATGGACCACATTGGGGGTGATTCTCTGAGGCCGGCTCCCGACGTTTCCGACCCCTCTTCCCTGGGCCTGAGTCCCATTAGGGTTTACCTGGGTGCCCGCAATCCGTAGGTCATTCACGACCCGTGTTATGGCCTGCTCCGGGTTCGGGTTGGTAGCTTGACCCACTCGGGCCTCCAGCTCTTGCATTTGTCTGGCAGCTTCCTCCCTTTCCATCCTGTGTCTCCTCTCCATCTCTTGCATTCTCCGAAGCACTGCGGCAACTGCCAGATCTGTTACCCGCGAATCAGCGACTGCACCAATCAGTGCCTGTGCAGTATCTGCTATTTGTTCCTTCATCGGTTGTAAACCCTGCACGTAAGGAGCGTCTTGGTTAACAACTGGAGTCGATGCCGAATCAGAATTCACATCACTCACGTGCACGACATCGGTATCTATCTGCCGTCGATCCACAGGATTCTCCCTAATTGGAGAAATAGGCTGGATTCTTGAATTCAATCTTGATGGTTGTCGAAATCCACTTCTTGTCACTTTCACCATCGTTGCTTTTGATCACGTGGTCGTGGAATTCCCCACAGACGGCGCGAATGTTCTGCCTGAGGTAGATATGTGCGACAGAAGGTCGGGTCTTTGATGTTGAATCTAGGGCTTTCTCTCTAGATACCTATGAACTAGGTATCTAAGGGACAACTGATCACTACACACTATATGATGGCTTTAGCCAGAAGGGGTGTGTGTGCACTGTCGTGTCTTAAATGAAATAGGGTTAGAGAGATCAGTTATACCTGTGGTCTTTAGTCCTATTTATAGAGCTTACCTCTGGACTGATGTTGGTTGGGCTTCTTGCTGCTGTGGGTCTTTCTCTGGTCCATAACATAGACCATACTAGTATTATGACTTAGCATGGTATTCCTAGTGTCCCCATCCATTTCCTTTGCTTTAATACAGAGGTGATGTTAATTATAGTCCACAGTTACATTGTTACTACTGGCATTGGAAATGTTAATTTATAATTGTAACAAGTGGAAAGTTCTGGCATTTTAATTTGTCTATGTAGTTTTTTTTGTTTATTGTGTATATTGCCATTTTCTCCTCTGCAGCTGAGTGACAATAATGCGGATGTTGGGGAGTTATAAAGATGGTGGATTTCTGCAATGTTGCTTGCATATTAGAAATGGTTTTGTTAACTGAGTTTTTATAGGATGACAGTATGAACCTGTTAACTTGGATGAACAACAACATGATCTAGTTGCTTGTGTAAATAAATTTAAGTCTGAACAATGATCTTTCAACTCCAAATCTTTATTTCTAAGAATCTGCCTTACGACTTCAGAACTTATATAGAAGGAAAACGTAAAAGAGAAAGACGAAATGAAATTTCTGACGTGGATATATCATCAACTAACTTAAACGACAAAGCTTAACCAATCAGAAACACATTAGCAAGAATTAGTTGAACTCGTTATGACTACGTGGCCATTTGAATCCACATGAGCTTTAGTTGAGTTTGGAGTTGAGTTTCAAATAATGGATGTTAACACCCACAAGTGGGACTGTAAATGTTCTGAAGTCCCAACTTGGAGAGAATCACATGAAAAGGATTTGCAAAAAGTTCTTTAGTAAACACATCCACAAGTTGCTCAGATGAGGGAACTGGAAGAAGATGGATTAGGTTACTACGAATCTTCTCACGAACGATGTGGCAGTCTATCTCCATATGCTTTGTATGCTTGTGAAAGGTGGGATTATGAGCAAGGTAAATGGCCGAGGCATTGTCACAAAACCCCGAAACTGGTTGATCATGAGGAAGACGTAGGTCATGTAACAAGTAAGTAAGCCATTGCATCTCGCACGTGAGGCTAGCGAGAGCTTGATACTCAGCTTCACAAGATGATCTAGACACAGTAGTCTATTTCTTTGATTTCTATGAGATCAAAGCATTGTCATGGAAGACACAATGACCTGTTACATATCTATGGGTATCTGGGCAACAGGCCCAATCAAAGTAACAAAAAAGCTTCAAGGAGTTCTCGGTGGGGAAAAACAAACTGATGCCTGGAGAATTCCTGATATATTGAAGTACCCGATGGGCTGCCTGAAGAACGATCATGTTTGACAGAAGGATCCAAGGGCATGGAAGCAAGTTTAACAATAATCATTCCACTATCCAAGAGTAGCTCAAGAAAATACTTTCATTGGTTGAGGATGATTCCCTTTTTGGATCGTGAAGTTTTGAGGCCAAGGAAGAATTTGAGAAAGCCAAGATCTTTGATACGAAACTACTGGTCAAAGAAGGATTTAATACGCCTTATCTCCTCCATGTCATTTCTAGCAAGCACAATATCATTCACATATACTAATAGTGCAGTGAAGAAGGTCCTTTGATGAAGTATGAAAAAAGAATGGTCAGCTGATGATTGAACATAGCCCAACGATCATAAAGTGATAATGAATTTTGAATGGCATTAACGATTCGCTTGTTTGAGTCCATAGAGAGATTTTATCAATTGACAAACTTGATTTGGCTTCTCACTAGATACAACAGGGGGTAATTCAATATATACTTCTTCATTTAAATCTCCATTTGCATTGAATTTGGTTTTATAAACCCATTTGCATCCAATGGGTGTTTTCCCTGAGGGTAAATCAACAAGCTACCAACTCTAATTCATTTCGAGTGCTTCAAGTTCCACCTTTATTGCCTTTCACCAATAGACATGTTTGATAGCCTGGGTATATGTTTTGGGGGTCATCTTGTGTGGAAACATTAAAGCAAAATTTCTTGAATTTGGGTGTACAAAGTTCATATGTTAAAACATGTTTAAAGGATAACAAAAAAAAGATGAGTTTTGGGTAAGGTAACAATGAAAGTCATGAAGATATGAAGGTGGATTTCTTTATCTAGAAGAGTATCGAACTAAATGAGGGTTTGTATTAAGAGGTTGTGGGTTTAGGTTTGTGGTAGGTTGAGATACAAAAATTTCAATGGTGGTATCATTTGAGTTAGGTGGAGAGAAAGGTTGTACAATTTCATTAGGAAAGGAAGGATATGTAGTGGTGTTTGGAAATATAGTGGTAGTGGTGTTGTTGTCATTGGCTAAAGAAGCATTTTGGGAGAAAGGAAAAGTGTGTTCATAAAAATAGTATTTCAAGAGATAAGACTTTGTCTGGATATAAGGCCATAGAGGACATACCCTTTTGTTTTGTCTTGATTACCAAGATAAAGATGCACTTTGTAGCTCTAGAAGAGAGCTTGTGTCTTGTCGAAGGCAGTGTACAAGCATATGAAAGACATCTGAAAGTACTTATATCAATGAGAATACCTTTTGATAGGGCATTTCGTATGGGAACATGTGATGCAGTAAAGGAGTGGGCAATTTGTTGATCAGAAAGACAAAATGTAGGACAACATAAGACTAAAGAGACTTTGGCATGTTAGCTTGAAAGGCTAAAGCTCGAGTGACATTTAATATATGCTGGTGTTTATGCTCCACAATCCATTTTGTTGTAGAGTTTCTACATAGCTGGTTTGGTGACATATACCCTTTTGTGAATAAAATTCATTCATCGTGAATTCTTTTCCATTGTCGGTACATATAGTTTTTAAAAGAAGCCCCAAACTAGTTTTCTATAAAAGAAACAAATTCTTGCAGATGCTTTCTGGTCTCACTTTTATATGTCATGAGTTTAACCCACGTATAACGAGAGAAATCGTCAACAAGAGTAACAAAATACTAATGCCCGTGAATATAAACTGTGGAAAACGAACACTAAATATCTTCGTGTAGCAATTCAAAAAATTTAGTTGTCTGTGATTTACTTGAAGGAAATAAGAGTATTTTCTATCTAGCAAAGTGACTTATGTCGCATGGTTTTACATTTACATCAGGGATAAAAGGAAAACATGGAAATCTGCTACAAAGTGGTCTCTGATAAGTGCCTTAAATGTAGGTGCCCCAGTAGAGAATCAGAGGCTTTATTACATTGCAAAGCAAAAACATTTTTGTGCTGTGAAGCTTGAGCAGAAGGAACGCTCAATGTATACAATCCATCCTTTTGTCTAGCTGTACCAATTATCCTCAATGTATTGTTCTGCTTGATCAAACAACATGAAGCCTGAAATATTAGAAAGCAGTCTACATCTTCCATTAGTTTTGTCACAGAAATCAAGTTAACCTTGAAATCTGGTACATGTTGCGACTTCGACAGGTGCGACGATCGTAAAAGTAATAAAATGTACGTGAGTAAGAGATTGTTCCCACAAGGATTAGAGTTCAAGCACTAATTCACTATTCGCGCTTTATTTGGACAAAAACTTATGAGAAACTTTGAATTTAAAACTAAGATTGATCAAAAGCATAAGATTTAGAGTTTAAAACGCAAGCAACTAAAAAGAGTGTTTTGACAATTAAGAAAAGCATAGTTAAGGTATTTTCCCCAATTTTGTCTTTATGCTATAAATTAAACAGTCAAGAAACTGCTCTTAATCTAATGCCAATCAATTCTTTCTAAATTAATTAAGGCTCAATTCCTTTTACCCTAATTCTATGTGATTTTGAAAGAATCCTAGTTCCCCGGTTGTTCCTCAAGAAAACATGCATTAAGATCAAGAATTCAAAGATTGCACAATTTCCCTATGTCTATTCCTCGATCACAAGGACTATGATGAATTTATCAAATCAAGGTTCATGCACCAATATCTCCATTGTCATACAATTCCCCTAAATCATTCTACAAGGAGCAAACTCATAGATAACATT